AGAGTGTTTGATTGGATCAACTCAGCTTAGTGCAGAGACTAGCGCACGCCAAGCCTGCCAGCGTCGACGCCACAGGTCGTGTTGTTGCCTGGGGTGTCCTGCCTGAGTAGCCTTTGCTCAAAATTATAAAGAGCCAGCCCTCCCCTCGCCCGCCTGTTTCGAAAGACCTGCGCGGAAGTCCCGACTGACGGCCCTACGTACCAACCACTTACGTCTGGCCTCTCTTTTTATTTTTTATCCCCCACGACGTCACACCCCACATCTACACTTTCACACCCCAATCTGTGTGGACAATTACCATCTTGTCCCATCTCAGTCTGAGTCTTGAAGCACCTCGGGCTTTGTCTCTCCTCTTCACTTTGTCAATACATCACGACCCTGCTGTTGCAGACGTGATCACACTCTCTAGGTCACAGCCCTCGCGACCAGGTTGCAAGAACTGAAAACGTTCCTTGCCCTCTTCGCTCCTTGCGCGCAACCGATATCGTTGAAACCGACCAAGACCGGAACGAAGCGATACCCGCCGACCCCGTCATCGTCAAACATCGAGTCGTTGCGCTATTGTAGACAACAATAGAAAAAAAAAAAGAAGCTGTCGTGAAGTGAAAGAAGCCCTCGGTCTTCTAAAACTATAATAACTTGATCGATATATCGAATATCGACTCAGGAAAAAGGCAACCGTCTTTCTACCATTTTCCAAATCGTTCCGCATCGAATCTTTGAGTTCGTCGCTATTTAAAGAACAAAAATTTGCTGGGCCAGTTTCTTTGTAGGGGACACATTCACTTGTTTCTCTCCCGCTATTGGTAGGTGGCCTCTTTGATTCACTGCATAGCCCCGCTACCCCCGCCCATAAAAGGCCTACTTCTCCTCCCTTTTCTTAACTTCACTCTCGCAACACCACAACGGCGCTGCATTTGTGTTACCCGTTGCATCGTCACCATCGCATCTACCTTCCAGGGTAGGATGCACGCTCTTTTCTTTGATGCGCGGTGCTAACTTGGGTCCTGCTCTAGATCTGTTCAGCGATTTTTTATAACCGTTGACACATCTCGATACCGACTCCAATCATGGAAGGCATCCAAACACACCCATCGAACGCGGCGCAAGCCAAGGCGTTCACGGCGCCAGGATCGCTGTCGTTCCCTGGAGCTACCAACGAGCTGACACCTCCGCCCGTCGGCACCGGTGATGCTGCTCAGCGACCTGCCCTCAACGGCCAGCAGGCGGCAAATGGCAATGGGGTGGCACCCGCAACGCCTGTCGCGACGCCTGCTGCTACTCAAGGACCTAGTGGAATTACTCCCACTCTACAGTATGTATCCTCCTGAGTGACCTTTTTATGCTCAGCGAGGCTTATCTGGCAAACTTCAAAGGAACATCGTGGCTACAGTGAACTTGGACTGCCGCTTGGACCTAAAGACTATTGCTCTGCACGCTCGTAACGCAGAGTATAACCCAAAGGTACTACAGATCTGACGTGCATATCGAGTTAGAAACACGTTGCTAACAGAAAAAGCGTTTCGCCGCTGTCATCATGCGAATCCGCGAGCCCAAGACCACCGCTCTGATCTTCGCTTCTGGCAAGATGGTCGTTACCGGTGCCAAGTCTGAAGACGATTCGAAGCTCGCTTCAAGAAAGTATGCTCGTATCATTCAGAAGCTTGGATTCAATGCCAAGTTCACCGACTTCAAGATTCAGAACATCGTCGGCTCTTGCGACATCAAGTTCCCTATCCGACTCGAGGGTTTGGCATCTCGCCATCACAATTTCAGTTCTTATGAACCCGAGTTGTTCCCCGGTCTTATCTACCGCATGATCAAGCCCAAGATCGTGCTTCTCATCTTTGTCAGTGGCAAGATCGTCTTGACTGGTGCCAAGGTCCGAGAGGAAATCTACCAGGCCTTCGAGATGATCTACCCTGTGTTGCAAGGTATGTCTTTGTTCACTATCTTTCTGGTCGCATCGATACTAACAACACTCACCAGATTTCCGCAAAGTCTAAGGTGCCACTTGACTCTTTGCCATCTTACATCCGACACTACAATATCACCTTCTCGACGTGTATGACTAGACAACCCGTCATGATACCACGACTGCTTTCATGTTCTCTGGCTTCCACCTGGTCTTGATGCCCAGGCTGGAGGCCAGGAATTTGCGTTTGTACCATTTTGAATTTATGCATTGCACTGGCGTTGGCAGGGGCGGTTAGGAAGGGGATTACTTACGAGGGATTTCGGTTTTGGGGAAAAGCAAAGACTACTCATCCCGCGACACATCATAGATTGCTCGCGCCAGTACTGTGGCGCACGCGCTCAGTTGATTTGAGCGCTTCTAATATTCCTGAGGGACGCGTTGAGCTGAGAGAGAGGGTGCTGGGGAAACAAAGTCGAACAGTTGCCCGAATGAGCCTTTTGAGGGTTCAGTCTTAAAAAAAACATTAACTTGGTAACGAGTTTGTGAAAACAAGGAGAGCATACCCCAGCATCTGCTGGTGGTCAAGACAATCATATAGTTGTCTTGAACTTGAACCAACATCTGCGAGATGCATTTCTCCAGAGTGTGCAGTTTTTTTCTCAGTAGTGAGATATGAATAAAGACTTAGGTTCTCTCCCAAGTTTGCAGTCGTTTTGACATTTTGTGTGTGAAGCTCGCGTGCGTTGATGATGCATGATTATCCACTCACGTGCCCAGCCAATAATCGCATTCTCATAGTAAATGGACAATCCAGCCCCGATTCTCGGCAGCGCCAGAGACTTATCAGCCGATTTCTAGGCCCGTTCTAGTGTCGCTTGGGAGGCTCTCCTCCTCGGACAACGCCGTGATCGGTGTGGGAACAGGGAAAAGTCTTCGCATTTCATCGGCCCATGTGAACTTTCTTTTGTTGACAGTGGTAGATAGATAAGTGATCGTGTCTCGTAGGAAGCCTTTCTTGTCCTCTCCTCGACCGTTTATCGTCTGTATCTGTCACAATGGCTGGTGCTCCTGCTTCCATCCTTATCGTTGGCTCTGGAGTCTTCGGGCTCGGCACCGCTTGCGCTTTGGCCAAACGATCACACTACTCCAGCACTTCGATCACTGTCGTCGACGACTGCGCAGGACAGTTTCCTCCAGAAGATGCTGCCAGTGTAGACTCGTCTCGAATTGTACGAGCCGACTACTCGGACCCTTACTATGCCGCGCTTGCCGCCGAGGCGCAGAAGGAATGGCGAAAGCAGGGCGATGATGAGGTCGGTGGACAGGGACGATATTCCGAGTCGGGCTTTGTCCTCTGCGCGAGCGAGACCCCCAAAGACTTCAAGCTCAAGAAGTCGGGCATGGACTATACCAAGGAGAGTGCCAAAAATGTCGAGTCGATTGCTAAGCAGACTGGTCTGCCTGTGGATAAGATCCAAAAGCTGGAGAGTACCAAGGCTCTCCAAAAGTTCCTCGGCACAGACGGTTATCCCGGAGACTGGGGCTACCTCAATGGTAACTCTGGCTGGGCTGATGCCGGAGAGGGTATGAAGTGGCTCTATAAGCAGGCTCAGGCCACAGGACGCATCCAGTTCGTCAACGGCAAGGTGACAGAGCTCGTAACAGAGGGTAATCGAGTCATTGGTGCGAAATTGAGCGACTCTGCGGTTCTCAGGGCCGATGTGGTCATGGTAGCCGCCGGTGCTTGGTCGGGCTCACTCGTTGACCTTCGAGGAAGAACAGAGGCTACTGGCCATGCAGTCGCGTATATGGACATCACACCGGAAGAGCAGAAGCGACTCGACAACTTCCCTGTGGTGTTGAACCTCAGCACCGGCCTCTTCCTCATTCCTCCTCGCAATAACGTCCTCAAGGCCGCACGTCACACATTCGGATACATTAATCCCGTCAAGATCAACAACGCTCTTCCTCCTTCGCCCAACGATAAGCGGGAACCCTTCATCGCATCTCAACCCTACACCTCTCGCAACGATTCCTCGAACCCTTTGACCGTCGAGGCCGACAAAGATCTGCGCCGCGCACTCACGGACTTGTGTCCTATACGCGGCTTAGAAAACCGACCATGGAAGGAGGCTCGAATCTGCTGGTATTCCGATACACGAGATGGCGAGTGGCTCGTTGACTACCACCCGGGCTGGAAGGGACTCTTTGTTGCAACAGGTGACAGCGGACACGGATTCAAGTTCCTACCCAACTTGGGTGAGAAGATCGCGGATGTTATGCAAGGCCAGGGTGGTAAGCTTGGCGAGAAGTGGCGATGGAGGGAGATCCAGAACGATGGAGTCGGAAGAGAGACGAATGGAGTGTACAGGGGCTTAATTACGGAAGATGGAAGCAGAGGTGGACGACCCTTGGTGCTTTGTGATGAGCTCGAGAAGGACAGGGCGGTTCTTGGAGAGACCAAGGCCAAGCTATGATAGAACACCAGAAGGTCTTTGGGGCGCAAGCCGCATTTGGATTGGACTTAGATGAAGCGTTCGTTTGTAGCATTTCAAGAAATCAAGTTTTTTGTTTGTAAAGATGGAATGTTTGAGAAAGTGAAGAAGCGAGATGGAAGCATGGTCTGACTTGAAAGGAGGATAAGCTTACAACAATAATAACACCACTTACTCCGTACACGTTGGGTTGATATGGACAGCGGGCTAATAAAGATCCGACAGGGCATGTTTCAGCAACGCCGGTTCTAAAGTGACTTCACATGTCAGGGATGAGATTTATATGGAACAGGGAGAGACCGATTTGAGTTTTGTTCTGTAAGGGGGTATAATGAAGGGTTGAGCTAAGGAATGATGATGTCTGGTCTGGTCTGGTTCTTTGGTTCCACGACTCCATACCTGGTTACCAAACTCACTCAGGAGAGGAGCTTGTTAGTAGTCTCTACGGCCATAGAATTGCTCTTCCTGGAGATGGTTTCTCTTATCTCATGTGCCGTATGAGTTTTGTATAGCAAGTTTGTCTCATGTCACGTCGTTCGTAGTCATTGTGCAGTGCTTCTATACCAGTATTTATGTCGTCTCCGTTTTTATGTCCTTCTGTTCTTGACTGTCTCCTGTGCCACCTTTGCGGTCGCATTAACGATCAACTCGTGCTCATGAGAGTGAACCTTCTCCTTGTACTGTTCTAGGTCCTCTCCCTTCCACTCAATTTCCTTGACCAGGATAGGAGTACCCCTGTCTACTTCAGCGATCACGTAGTGGGCCATGATGCCTGAGCGTGTTAGTCGACCAGCCTTGAACTCATCATAAGCTCGCTCGATCGCATTGGCTCCGTCAAACTCTCCTGGTAGAGCACTGTGTGGTCATGTTAATTATTCGGCAATTCGCAAAGACCTAACATGTTGAACTCACGGGTGTAAGTTAATGACGTTCAGACCAGCCTTCTGGATAGGGTCCAGGAAAGCAGTTGAGAAGACATGCATCCAGCCAGCGAGGACAATAAGCTCAGGCTTCTCGTTGGCTGAGAGGATCTTTTCGGCCAACGCAGCGTCATACTTCCGACGACCTTCAGTCACCTTCTGCTCGTCGGTTTCTCCCTTTTCCAAGAATCCGTGAGAGATCAAGTTAAAGTATTGCCAAGGAATGCCTTGTCACGAGTCAGTATATGCACATAAAAGTCGTATGGACTAGCACGACGTATGGGATTTGGTGAGAGGGCTCGTACCAGCTTTCTCGGCTCGGACAGTTGCGTGTGCGTTCCGTCGGTTCACAATGAGAGAAATGATACGACTATTTGGGAGCGAACCAGTAGATATCGCATCAATGAGAGCCTGGAAATTAGAGCCAAACCCAGAGGCCATGACGAGAATTCGGCATGGTGATTGGTCCGCGTTTGACATCTTGAAGGGCAGATACTGAAGTGAACTGAATATTGTAGTATGCTTCAGTCACCCTCTGAATAATATTTCTCCAGCTTCAGTTCAAAACTTTCACCCCTCCAAAGGGTATCACGTGATGCCGATAGCGGCAGAGCACACATTGTCGAGAAAATGGCCCAAGACATGCTTAAACAATACCTATATAATAAAGTAATTAGCCTAGTTTGAGCATTTCCAGTGACTATACTCCAGTGTCCGTCCCATTTGGTTCTGCTCTAGAGTGCAGAGTTGCGACATGACAGTTCAAGCTCAAAGCCTTCCATCACTTTGTCCAGTAGGTCGAAATTACCTTTGACATATTTCGATGTTTCTGTGATTCGAAAAGCCATTTATTTCTACGAGACTTGTCACCAATAAACGATTTTTTCATGGAGCTGTATGCCCCCTTCTCGATCGTATACGTTTCAGCCCGAAATCACCGTCAAGACGTCCCAAAAACTGCAACTGACTTGATATTGAGCCATACGTAGGGTAGGTAGTTGACAACGAAATACCGAATTGCGCGTTATGCCCTATTAAACCTAGCGCACGGTAAGCGATAAGGCTTACAGTGATGAGGTCCACTAGCTGCCCTGGACCTTGGAACGCGCTGAGACTATTGCGACAGCTAACCACAACTCCATTCAACATCCAATTGCCCGTGTTCAGTCTTTCTTTCAACGGTCTCTATCTCGACGGAAACTGGGCATACTTGGTGTACAATAACAGAGATGTACTGAATCAACAAACTACAAATCGAAACCAAAAATGTCCTCCGGAAAGGGCGTATCCGAATTCCCAAGCTTGGAAGCCAAGCTGCAAAAACCGACCAAGCAGTCCGCTTTCGAGAAACAAAAAGCAGAAGCTGAAGCCAAGCGACTACGAGAAGAAGCAGAAACCGCTGCGGTATATAACGAATTCGTCAAAAGTTTTGATCGCGATGATGACTATGATGGACACAATGCACCCAGCTCTTCAGCACCTCCACGCCCGCGACATGGATTTGGGGGCCAGCCACCGCCCTCAGGACCAGGGAGACGGCATTTTGGAACATCGGGACTGAAGAGCGGACCAGGAAGCTTGGGACCTCCGCCATCCTCGTTCGCGAAAAAGCGATCTTTCCAGGACTTTGCGCGGCCGTCGCGGGATAAGGGAGTCCTGGGCTACAATGAGGGAGCCAGTGGAGGAGGGCCGATCCCAGCAGCGAGAGCTTTTAACACAAGCGATGACGAGGATATGGACGGCGTGACAGATAGGGCAGAAGAGAAGGCTATAGCGAAACCTACACTGCGACTGTCGAATATTCCTCCAGGAACTTCCCCAGCCACGATCAAGGCCTTGATCCCAGACAATCTGACAGTCGAGAATGTCAAAATCACACCTTCGAGCAGCTCTGGGAACTCAGAAAGAAAGCATGCCGTTTCGATTGTCACATTGTCCCAGGAAACACCGGCGAACGAGATCGATGCGGCCGTCAATGCGCTACAGAACCGATATCTAGGTTATGGACATTACCTGTCTCTCCATCGCCATCTTTCATCAGCTGTTGCGAGTTCGGCTGCATTGCCAAACATTGGCTCTTCAGCGACGTCACATCCCTTTGGTGCGAAACCTGTTGAGCAACCATCAGGGCCACAAAACCCGCACACGCAGCATGGGTTCAATAGCAGATTTGCGCCCCCAACCTCTTATGGACCCCCCGGCGCAGGCATAAATCGATCGGCCCTGTTACATGTGCCGGTCAAACCGCCCACTGATGTTAAGATTATACAACTAATAAGCAAGGTTATCGAGGGAGTTCTTGTCCATGGCCCAGAATTCGAGGCGCTGCTCATGTCACGACCCGAGGTGCAAAGGGAAGAAAAATGGGCATGGATATGGGATGCAAGGAGTCAAGGCGGCATATGGTACCGATGGAGACTATGGGAGGTCATTACGGGCTCGCAGCAATCACGGCAAAAGGGGAAATACGTCCCCCTATTCGATGGCTCGCATGCATGGAGGGCCCCGGAGAAGAACCTCAAGTTTGAGTACACGACCAAGCTGGACGAATTCGTGTCGGACTCAGAGTACAACTCATCGGATGAGGAGGACTTCGAGGATGACAATAAGAGGGAAAATCCAGATGCGGAATCCGAAAAGGCGTTCCTCAACCCATTGGAGAAGGCCAAGCTAACACATCTCCTTGCACGACTACCGACATCGATGTCGAGGTTAAGGAAGGGCGATGTCGCGAGAGTGACGAGCTTCGCAATTACCCATGCTAGTCGAGGAGTTGACGAGGTGGTGGCGATGATCACATTCAATGTTGAGAAGCCATTTGCTCTTACTGGCGCAAACCCTGACAAGAAGTCTGAGAGGAAAGAATTCCAAACAAGCGCCCCCGAAGAGGCGCCAAGTAACGAGGGCCCCGACATCAGTGGTGCTAGTCTGGTGGGATTATATGTCGTCAGCGACATACTGTCGTCTTCATCGACAAGCGGCGTGCGGCACGCCTGGCGTTTTCGGCAGCTATTCGAGACATCACTGAGAGACCGCAAGACGTTCGAGACACTGGGCCTCATGGCGGAGCGACTCAAGTGGGGACGTCTACGCGCAGAGAAGTGGAAGCGTAGCATTCACCTTGTTCTGAATCTCTGGGAGGGGTGGTGCGTCTTCCCTGCCGAGAGCCAGGAACTATTTGTCAAATATTTCGAAAACCCGCCATCGCTGGTTTCCGTTGAGAAGGAGGATAGCGAAGAGAAGAAGGGCAAATGGAAGACGGTGGAGGATAAACAATTACGTGCACTACCCGTTTCGACCGTCGAGGAGGAGGAGGATGACGTTGCGGGCGAGGCGATTGAAGACGACGATGTTATTGGAGAGCCGATCGAAGAAGACGATATTGAGGGAGAACCTATTGACGAGGATGACATCGAGGGAGAGCCTATCGATGAGGACGATGTGGCTGGGGAACCAATGGATGAAGATGAGGCTGTAGGGGATAAGTTGCCACCAGCGCCTACAGATCAACCTACAGTCGGCACCGAGAACCAGACCAAAGAAGAACCGTCTCAAGCCGGACAGCCTCGAAGACGGATGCGAGCAGTGGATATGTTTGCAGATTCAGACGACTCGGACAAGGGCGGATAGAGATAGGCGAAGTTCAATGATACCAATTTGTAATGGATTAGACGTACCGTTCCGTCTGCGAGATGGCGCCATCTAACGGCGTGAGACCAAGGCAGGCCAAGGGGTAGGATCCAATGTGATCTCTAGTTTGTGTGCGACCACTGGACGATTGAAGATCAGTTGAGTTGGATCGCACTTCAAGGCCGGAACGCCAAGCAAGGATGTGTAGAGCATGACATGAGAGGCCAGACACTAGACGAGGATGCCACGGGAGCTGAGCCTAGAATAGAGGCACAATGTAACATGGACGTTGAAAGCACATGCTGATAGTTGCAGCATTGTCGTTGGCAGATGAGTTTGTGATGAGCTATGCGTCTATGCTGAGGTATGCTGTCAAGGATGGACTGTGCGTCTGACTGCTGTCGACATTGTCAAGGACCAAACCATGTTACGTCACTAATATTGATGTGGTGGAAAGCAATTCACACGTATGAGGCAAAAACAGACAACAAGAGAAAGCTGAACGCTTGAGCTTTATGGTGGTGTTGGTGTTGAAGGTGGCCGGGGCCTTTGAGCCAATGGAAACTTGCTCACTCGGCCGGGTTGGCTGATGGATACGGACACAAGATAGTGGAGAGGGAAGAGAAAAGTGACATGAATGATTGAAATGCGGTAAAGTCGGGGTTTTTGCACTGTTATTGAGAGGGAAGAGACCTTGTGTTTATATTTAAACATGTTTTATTTTCATTAGAGTCGTTGAATTGCCAAATGTGCTCTTTCGGACGTTGCACGGAAGAGAACCGCCGGGTCTCCGGCTATACAGTGCTCCGTATCGGCGGCGGCTTGAATTGGAGGAACGGGCCTGAGCCGGGGGGAGTTGGGCTTGGCTTGTAGGGGGATATTGTATCAGCAACGTCATGGAGAAGTTGAGATCCTGATGATACACTCTATTGCGTTCGTTTTCATATTGACATGTCCTCGGAATAATTTCTATCTTATCACGGAACCATCTTCAACATGGCATGATTTTCAACCTCTACTATTCCGAGCCGATCTTAGCTGAGCGGACACCGAAACACCAAAATTGAGCCAAGTCTAGGTGTCGTTAAGTTAGCGTGGGAGTGATCTTGCCAACCAAGTGCCTTGCTGGGATTAGACACCCTTTGGGCTCTTTAGGGCGTTTCTTGCCCGCTGCAGCCCCCGCATGGTGGGGGGCGCGACGAACATTTGCAGGCAGGTCGTCCGCTGGCTGAGGTGCTGACAAGGGAAGGGGAAAGGCTGGGTCGGGTCCCTGAATAATGAACCATCTCTCGCTCGTCTTGGGTCTAGACTAGATCAAAGATCCGTTCCATCGTTTTGCCTTGTTACATCTTCTTACTACAACAACGACAGCGATACATGTCATTTTACACCAGTTTTGCATTCTACAGCATTCATTGACTTACACCGGCCATAAGTCCCCATTCTCATCGAGTCCTGGTACGACACTTTCATATAGTACACAGCCGCCGCGAACTTTTGTAAAACCCGTCTTCTGTATCCCGTCGTTTGCGACGCAAATTCCGAGCCCTCGAGTGTCGCCGAGTAATCCACGCCGCGCCTTGCAACACACTCTTCCTCTCATGTCGACTCTTGCGAGACTTGCGCATTTGTAGGCAATTGTTACGGCTGTGAGCCGGCCACCATCCATCTCTACCACTATCCGTCCGTCTTGCTCCACCTCTGTCTGTCATCCGTCGTACATACCTTTCCGACGACAGTCTCACCATGCCTCTCATCAATGGAATAAAAATGGCCTGGTACGATTGATCCTGGCGCATTCAACTGCCGTCGGTCTTCTGGTTAGACTTTGCTAACTCTGGACTTGTAGC